TGAAGAGAATATTCACATGGAGTATGACCTGGCAGCTCCCTCTAAACCCAAATAAGGGTGGCATCCTCCATTTCAATAAATCCCACCCAGAAGTAACACTACACTTGGGTGACATCTCACTGCAGGTATACAACACTGTGAAAGACCTCGGAATCACCTACTCCAGAAGTTTGACTTTTACGGAGTATGCAGATTCAATAGTTTCCAAGGGCAGAAGACTCATACATCTTCTACACAGAAACACACTCGCGCCTGAGGCAAAACTGATACTATACAAAGTTATGGTTTACCTAATATTAGAGTGTTCCACAGTTATCTATGGTAACGTGAGAGTACCTGATATAATTCGGGTAGAGAACATCCAACGAAACTTTACTCGACGCCTACTCATGCATAAAGAAGGACTTGCATGCGAAGATGCAAAAAACTGGAGCTAGAATCATTCTGGCTGGGATGCCTGAAGCTCAACCTAACATTTTTTTTCGCCTTTTATTTGGAAACTCGTAAACGAAATTTGCTTTCGCTTTTAAATCATCACAGGTACACAATCTGCGTAATGGCGAGTACACCATCCCAATAAATAAGTATCGCTCAACACTTCGATGTGGGCTTTTCACAACTCGATTCAGTATGCTGTGGAACAAACTTCCCGCTCCCATACGAGCATGTCGTTCTCTCGGCCAGTTTCAACGATTACTTAGTGAATTCCTCCTATTTGACGAATCTCATCAATTCGTTGACGGCCTAACCACAAACGGTAATACCATGTACAATGGTGCTACTGGTACCTAGACTCAAGGTAGATTAACGGCAATGACAAAAGTATGCAATGCCAAAAACTAAACGCATTAGTTTAGTTAAGATCTAATTTCTGAAAAAGAAAACTGACCAAGAGTGAGCAGAAAGCGGAGTGCAATACGATATGCAACAGTGAACTCAGTAGCTATTCTAATGTAACCTACATTTCTACATAACCTAACTGACCTCATGACTTAACACCTATTTCATAAAGCTCGTTCCTTAAAATAATCTCTGTACTCCGGATTGATAAAAGAACTGTCTGTCGGTGCATTTTCATATCATGCAACTCTTTATTATTTGCCCCTTGTTACCAGTGCTTACATGTAAGTACTATGTACCACCATATTGTTTCGGTAGCCCCACTATGGTAATACTCGACAGGCAACACCATGATCACCCCCCCCGTGACCAGAGAAAGGGTGGTTACCATCTTAGCAGTCCACGAATTCCACTTCATTGTTTATAACTTCATCAAACGCTTGTACACAGGTGTATAACAAGTGAATACCTGGTCCGAAATCCTCTAATCTCTCTATTTCGTAGCGATATCTTCGGCTTCGGGCTAATTTCTGCTACCGTCGTGCGCACCTTCATCTTCTTCCACCTAAGCTTACCTCTAAACTGTCGGTTCTGGATAGTTCTTCAAGCAACTTTTGCAGTCAGTACAAAGAACTCACCCAGATGAGTCATGGTTGATCTACTCCTGCGTATTTTTGTGCTCCTGGTTCTAATTTCGCCTGCTGCTCGCTTTTGTAATTCACTTTTTAGGTTTATCTAACCAGTCCTGCATTCAAATGGAATCCTAAAAATCGCATTTGCCTGTGTCCACCTTGCCATCAAAACCACATGACGAACGCGCACACCCCAAGGTCATGACTGTGATGCGGCCCCATCCTCAAGAATATTGGAAGATTTAAACAATAGCCAAATAATTCCTAATTTCTAACTGAGCCTGCTTCAGCATGCCTCTTATGTGTCACGAATAACGGTATCTAACGTGTAGCTTAACACTGTACATAACAGTCACTTCTCATTACCAAAATGGTCAAACCTGTAAACTGGTTTGTATTCATGTAACCTATGTCGTATTAAATATATATTATTATTATGAAATGGACTGCATGATGGTGCGGACCGTACTAGGTTCACCTAGACACTCTTAAGCTGCAGTCTGTGAAATATAGGCGGACTAAAGCGGTGGGGTTATGATGTGCCATGTAGCTTGTAATCTCCTCCATTCCGACAGGTCCCTACCCAGCTTCATTCAGAAACCTAGTCTTAGGGGTCGCGCCTTAATAGTGAAGTGTGAAACAGCTCGAACGCACATCCGTACCAACCCGTCAGCAAATCAGTAGTTTCTCTGCCTGGTTTTGTTACGGTTGCTTCTCGCAATGGCTGAGAAAGGAGGTTGGTTCCCCCCTAAGATCCCTGCGGTGCAGGCCCAGTGTGCCTAGAAAATTCTGCGGTTTTAACCGTAGTAATTAACAACGATATTTTAAGGGAGTGAAGTATCCATAAGGAACGCGCCTTTTGTTGGCTTTTTTTCAATTTTTTTGGTTATGCACGTAAAATGTGAGGGAATGTCGTTCCCATTTCTGCAGCAAGAAGTTTCAATTGAGCACGCCTCTTGATGCCAGTCAGTTCATTGTCACCGGAGGCCGCTGTGCTAGCGCTGACCGCCTACTATATTCGTACTCTTGGATATGATCTCAAATTGCGATTAAGCGCGCGAAGCATTCTCCACTATTGCAACTGATGTGGGGGACAGTGCCCACTTTCCACAATTTCTTCTCGTGAATACAAATCCACGCCAATTCACAGCGGTGGTTTTTATAATTATACCACTTGAATTTCGATGCTGGTATGGCATTAATGATTTTAAATAATTGAATTAATGCTCAACGGAAAGGCAATGCGTTAAGGAGAAGAAAAATGTCAATTCCAGGTTCGCTTTGTATTTCGTTTGACTTTTCTTCCCACCAATTCTTCCCATTCCTCCTATCTTTCTCTTATAGGCAGTCAGAATAGTTTTCTTGCAACACATTAATCGAGAAACCCACCAGTACCAAAGTTCTGAGGGCGATTCTGGGTTCGCTACTGTTCCTTCTTTTTATGAGCCACACACCATCGAGTCTTAGCTGCACAATTATACCTTGCTATGCCTGTGTTACGTTACGGCCATCTGTGACGTCCAAAACTGAATCAAGTGTACTGATTTCAGACTGCTCGCAGAGGAGATGAATGATAGCAGACAAGAGCATAATCTGGATAAGTGTCGAACCACGTTTCCCCTCACTGCAGACTTGCCAAATGTATCCTACTCTCTCTGCGGCACAAAACTTTCCCACAGGGCCACGAAGAAAGGCCTGGAACTAGTTTTGACCGACAAGCTGGACGCCTACTCCAGCTGTCCAGGAGGTGATACCAGAGCCCACACGGTACTGCACTTTGTGTGTGGGCAGCTAAGTATCGTCACACCGAAACCCTTCCTGAAGCTCTCTAGGACGTATAGGTCCATGTCATCGCACCCTCACAACTGGAAACAGATGTGAACCCCCTGGAAGAACGTCAAAGGCGAGAAGTGAGGGGTGCTGTGGGAATACGGCAAAAAGCCTATGAGAAAAGTTTGAAAGACCTAGGGCTTTATTCTCTCGGTTGCCGTAGGTTGAGGGGAGACTTGTCGGCGGCTAACAAAATGCCAAGTAATCCAACTCACTCGAGTGGCAGATCCCCACCGAACAGCTACTGCTGCAATCCTCATGGTGGCGCACAGGAAAGCACCCACCAAAGTGCGAAACATGTTTCCGTCCACACTTTTTCTTCATGCAAATCTGCAGTCACCTGAACCCATCATCAGTCGAGACCTCCACTGCTCTGTGTGTCGACAGCTTTAAGAAGAGGCGAAACAGCCACGCGACGAGCACGGTTCCAGCTAATCCAACTGGGATATAAACTAGGTTGATGTAACCAACCCTCTCGGCACAGTCTGGCACAGTCAGCCCTATTTCGAGTTTTTTACCACAACTATCATCGTGAACTCGACTCAACCTTGTACTTCCCTATTAGGGGTCTTACCTCGAGTTGCCGTATCCTCACTGACAATGTTACAACTTCCACTCCAACAATCCATCTTTTGATCTTACTCGTCCATTATCTTCATGACTCCACGGTGTCACTATGGTTATTAGAGTTCCCCTCATCACTGTTAACTCTCTCGAATCTACCTGGAATTCTTCCTCCATTTCATCCAGCTTTTCCTAACTTTTTTGCGCACTTCTGCTCCTTTGTTTTCGCCGGACACCTTTCCATCCTCTCTAGATTCTTTTTGCGACCATCCCGAAATGCTGTCTGGTGAAAGGACGTTTAAGGATTCCATCGGCGCTACACTCCTTGGACAACTCACAAAGCCTGAATAGCCCAGCATCTAAATCTAGTTTCGCACCCTATCTGTAAACAATAAAAAGCTGCTGAATATTTCCACATTTTCAGCCTCATTTATGCTCAACATCTGGTGTTCGGTGTACCCTCACTGATTATTAACTGAAGTGGTTAGAGCCGGTCACTACTGCCAAATCGGTTCCCGTACTGAGTGATGATTCGCCCACTGCTCTTCAGTCCTTCTTTGCAGTGAGGTGGTTTTTACATAATATTTATGACCACTAATATCCAAGAGATCGAATACTCGAAGAGACCACAGATGATGCGACGATTTAGAGTTCTTACATTTTGTCAGCTTCGTCGTAGACAATAAAATCCAGATACTGCCTGTAAAAATGATATATGATCGTTTAGTTCACTATTCGAGATATATTATCACTAAGAACTCGACGTCTAACCACCCGTCGGTCGTACCGAAGCTATATCAGGCAAGTGGGTTGAGATGGTGCACTAGTATTCAAAAAAACCGGGAGCTGTTCTGTAAACCTAGAAGTAAGTGCGAGAAATTCCAGTGGCTTACACTAGCTCATAAAGAGGTACCGAATATTGGATATTAGGGGACAAATCATAGATCTCCTTGCAAATTTAACCAAAACCCAACAACAAGCTGTTCACGAATGTTCGCTGCAACTGAGTGGTTAGATCAACCGCTTTGAGTCCCAGCAGATAACTGGAACAATTCCGTAACTTCCTGAAATGAGTGCCAAGAAATCAGTTGGTTTGTACAAGCTCGCTAAACAGGTGTTGGACATCGAATCCGAGGCGCTCTTTTCGATGGTCTAAAATTCGGACTTACTGTCGGTATGCATTTTTTATGTTTTTTAGTATGAGTTCATAAGTTTAAGCTTTTATGGTCCTATATGATTCTCTCAGCTATGTTTATTGCATTTAGCTTGACAAAGTAAATGGGAAGACAAGTTTAAACTTCGCTCGGTTTAAAGAGCTGGATAGTTGAAGGCTTCTTTACATAGGTGATTGCCGTGTTGAGAATTGACTCAGTGGAGTCCCATCAAATTTGAGGCATCTCAATCCTATCTGCGTGACTTCTCTTTAAGGTCACAGTAACGATTGTCGTGGCACTATCAAACCTTCTCAACTGAAATAGCCAGAGATTGTCCCATGGGATCTACCTACATATTTTGATTATTAACCCTATGAAACGCACCAAAAGCTAGTCTAGGAGCAGCCCCATCTCTTTTTATCTTAAAGGACAGGTGGAACAACTATGCCGCGACATTGACCATCTTCACTTATTGAGAAGAAAGAGTCTCGATCTAAAGTGGCACCATTAAATAACTTGGCTGTCACTTTTATCGTGGCGTTGCGTTGTTTGCAACTGTCTCCATTAGCGGTACTATCATGCATATTCTCCTTTTTCCTACTTCTGTTTTCTCATGTAGCCCTTGTCATTTCAGTTTTCAGTCATAAGGATAGTAGGCCAGATAACTTGTGTTAATCCTTGCAGAAGGTATCTCTGTGAAGATCTAGTTTCTCCTTAAACGCGTTGACAGGTGCTGGTAGTACTTGCTTAGGTAAGGATTCTAGCCGTTGGCTAGGTGATGAGAGAAACGCAGATTCATACTGAATTGATTCGATCGCAGTTTTTAGGTTTTTTTTCGTGATGCCCTCGGAGATAGTCAGTCCTAGCAGGAGAGGAAAAATAGGAAGTACCAGTACCGAATTTATTATTAAGGATACGAAATGCCAGTATGAGGTCACCCCGTTTTCTACGGTAAGATAGTGGGAATAAGTCTAACCGATATAGTCGTTCCTCATAGGGCAGATTCGAAAAGCCTGCCACAGGCTTCGCACCTACCCTTTGAATACATTTGAATACGTCAGCATCCCTTTCTAGGCATGAACTGGCCGCCTGAATGCAGTATTCCAAGTGAGGTCTAACACAAGTAGAATAGAGTATTCTGAACATGTCGTGATCAAAACTTTTGAAAGCCCTGAGGATGGACCATAACACGCTCAAGCTCTTTGCTACAACTGCATTACATTTTGCTGAGGTTTTCAAATGATGACTAATGATAACACCTAAGTCTCAGTTCAAAGACTGGGAGTAGTAGTATGTTATCAACGGAATCCTGGGAACAATTACTATAACCTGTGTGCATTGCTGCACTTTTATTAGAGTTGATCTCCAGGCACCAACGTTCATGTCAACCTACCAGTTCATGCAAATTCTCTTGAAGTGCATACCTACCAGTATCACTACGTATGACTCTCCAAACCTTTACATTATCGGCGAATAGCAGCATAGAAGGGTTAAGCAATTTTAGTAATTCGTTGACATATAACAAGATAAGTAGTGGACCTGGGATTGCACCTTGAGGAACTCCACCCATCACAGGTTTCCATCCAGACAGCATCCTATTAATCCTCACTTTTTGCCTTCCATCGTACAGAAAGTCCCTAATCCAGGCTTGCAATGAAGCACCGAACTCGAAAGAGGAGAGTTTTCCTAGTAATTTCTCATGTGACACTATCGAATGCCTTACTGAAGTCTATGAACACAGAATCCATTGGCAGCTTGCAATCACGGGTCGCAACCCATTTCTCTCTCGCGATAAGGTTTGTTAAACAGGAGTGTTCAGTATGTAAACCGTCTTGCTGTGATGCCAAAAGATTAGTTGATTCAACATTTTTAAGTACCTCATCACGAATTATTTTTTTCTAAGATCTTAATAACTATGCTAGTTAGACTCAGTGGACGATAGTTAGTCATCAGTCTTAAAAACTGGGTTAGCTATGGGATCTTTCCAGTCTCTAGGGCCGTGAGTTTGAGATAGGGACATTGAAAAGATCAGTGACTGGTTCAGCAATAATGTCCGCTAGCAAATATATCACTCGGGTGTAACTCATCGGGACCCGTGGATTTTCCAGGTTTGAGATCAATGAGAAACTGTAAGGCTGTTTCCTTTGTTATGAACACTGTATCCATTAGTTTGGCACTGCTGACACCACTATTGAACACTTCATCATCATGATCTACAGTGAAGACTTCACTAGACTGGTCCGATAGACATTCAGCTTTGGACAGATTAGATTCCGTCAGACTATCAAACTCCCCATCCGTCACCAGAAAAGGAATTCCACACTTTTTTTTAGTTCTGGTGAATGCGAAGTCTGTTAGGAAAACTTTGGCAATCCCTCACAAGCTATTTCTCGTGCGACATTCGAGACTGTAATCAAAGTTTTGCAGAGATTACGGACTTTACAGTACCAAGTTTTGAATATTTCCAATCCCGTTTCTATAAACAAATCCCATAAACGTTTTCTCCACCTTAATAGTTTCTTGGTGTCTTTACTAAACCACAGAGGCTATGTGAAGATCTTCATGGAGTCCACCATGAAATAAATGGCGTCGTCGCCTCTTCAAATAGAGTTTTGAGTCCATCTCATGCGTTCTCGATTGATGAGTCCTTGTCGATTATCCAATCATTACTGACTGCTCATTCCCTTATACTTGAAACGTTTGCGCACCAAACATTAGGTCTAGGGGAAGCAGTGTCATTACCAACCTCATGCGTTCGAAAACCGAAGGTTAGCACTACATGATCGCTGTCAGCTAATAGAGGAGAGTATCGTAGATCCATAATGTCTTCACATTGGTGGGTTAAAACTAAATCTAAGAACGACGGCTTGTGTTTGAATTCGTATCGTGCCGCACAAGTTACATTTTGAACTAAAGGAGATTGTAGTACCGTTAAAAGTAAATCATTTTCGAAGGAACTACCCGATGCTGAGACTGTTAGCTGCATCCAGTTTAATGTGTGGAGCATTCAGATTCCTAACTACTAGGTATTTGTTGCTTCTACTCCAGTTACGTATATGGGTTAGCACGAAGTCATTTGAAAGGCAGGATGGACTACGGTAAATGATCCCAATAGTACAGAAAACTTGCTTTGACTTCAGCTCGCAAGTGGCCACTTCACAGATCCCGCATTCATATGCTTTGGAAGTGATTGGTCGTAGGTGGATATCATCACGGACACAGAGTAGTATGCCACCATCTTTGCGACCCACAGCCCTATCTGTCCTTACACAGTAATACCCTGTTAAAAGTAGCGAAAAATCTAAATCCTTTATTAGCCAGGTTTCAGCAAGGTCTACTACATCAGGACCTAGTTCACAGGTTGCAGTCTCGGTCTGTCATTTGACTTCTAATACTGCGAACATTGGTGTAGATTACGTTCACTGTGTTAGAAGAGTTCCATAACCCACCCATACAGGCCTTGGAAGCATTCACTTCCAACACCTCGCAACCCTAAAACCCACTACTTTAAGATTGTTTTCCCCATTAGTTTGTCCAGCCTTAAGTTCGGCGACAGCTTCTCTTCTTTTTATTAGGTCCTCGAGAGAGCAGTCAGGTTGGATGTGGATGTTCATATTTCGTAGTTAGGATGCGTTACTCAAGAGTATGTCCACTTTGTTGCCTAAAACAACCATTAAAATCCTCTTCTCATCAGGATTTTCATTCTTGTTCTTACCTAACCTGACTATTTTGGAGATGCCTACTCCTTTAGACGTTTCAGGTAGAATATATCTGATGGCCGACTCGACTATTTTCAGGTCATAGCTTTAACATATTGAAGGGTTTTTGTTCGATGACTCCTCACCACACTAGAAGATCACACTAGGCGTTAGTGTAAAATCTTTAAATCGCGTGTCGGAGGCCTTCGAAACCTCGATAGGTTTCAGAAGCTTATTAGCTTTAGTGATAACCTTTGGAGGTTTCTTCGAATTTTTCCTTGGAGAAATCCATTCAATCTCGTTGATCACCTTTATAAAAGTCAGCGTTGCTAACATATGCCGTCTTTCGGTGAGTCCTCAGGTGTTATAGTTGGTGTACCAGTTGCCGTCGGTTTTCTCTTGCACCGTGTATGCATCGGAACTGGCGTAATCTCATCAATTCGATCACTAGTATCCACTAGTCCATTTTGAGATCTCGTGTCAGATGTACTAACAATAACACTTGCAGTGTCATCATCTGAAACCACATTGGAATGACAACTATCATTACCATATGACTGCTTTTTGACCAGTGACATTTTGACAGCTTCCTGGATTAGGACTGATAAGGGCTTGCAGCAGAAATCACATAACCAGGGAGAAGTTGGTTTACTGCAACGCTTGTACACGGTTGGTATCAATCAGGTACAAACTTTGTGGAACCAATATCCGCTTGCATCACATTGCATACCTTCATCGACTGGGAGTTTACAGCTGGCTTGACCGCAAACATGATTATCACTAACCATGTTATTCACCATTCAGTTAAAGTTTTCACTAGTACCGTGTTCTAGCAAGTATTCAGTTAAAATTTGTTCACAAGGACTTAAATTGTGATACGATTTTTTGACCAACCTTAAGCCTCAAAGTGATGAAACTTGGAACGCTGACTCAGTTACCTCAAGTCAAAGTTTGTAAGAAAGCCTTTGATGTGGATTACACAACAAAAGAGAAAAATGTCAAAAGCGTGGAAAAATCCACTTCCTGTTTTCAAAGCGTGCGCGACTATTCGTTTACTTTTCGTATTCTGTTGTGAAACGTTAATTTTAGTCGATAGACCTGTGCTTATTTCTACATTGATTTGTCTGTGCGCATTTTCTATTGCCAGTGGATATCAGCAGCTTCTTCCAAACTAATGGATGCAGGTGAACGCCTCCCTGCAGGCTCTGAGTACAATGAAGAGTGAGCGCAACTTAAAAGTAGACTGATGAAAAGTCTGCGCAACGATCGTGAACAATGGTGGGCAGCGAAGGCTAAAGAGATGGAAAAGGCAGCGGCGATCG